AAAATCTTTAAACTGTAGAGTAATAATACTTAATTTTCTAGATAGCATGTGTGATTTATTTAATTGAAGTAGCTTTGAAATCTTTTGTTTATTTGCTTTTTCTTTTTTCTCTTTATAGATACTAAAATGGATCGGAAAGATAAATTATTTGTGATTAATGAGGTAATTTTAGAGAGTAATTACAGTAAAATATTTTAAGAACACTAGAATTGCTCATTTAAAAAAATCAGTCAGATATTAAGTGATTTTTAAAACTTGTTTTGTGACATATTAACTCTTCAATAACCTATCTTCTAAGTTTTTGTAGTAGTAACTGTGTATATCAGTTTAGTGCTTTAGTATGTAATATTTCTAAATTATTTGTCTTGTCTCAAAATGCATATTGAAATTTCCTGAGGACAAGGATTATATCTCATTTTTTTCTCCCATGTTTCGTATAGTGATAAATTCATATTAGGTACTCATATAGAACTATCAATTAGCATATATAAAATAAAATTTAAAACCTGTTAAATGTTTATAGAAAAACCACATTGTAAAATGCATTTTGCCAGTATTAACAGTGATGCATGTGGAATTTGCTCTTAAGGTATTAAAAACTAGTAATAGGTTAAATTTTCAAAGATACTAAACTTACATTCTAAACAGATTTTTCAAAATTTAGACGATTGTTTTAAGATAATTCTCTTTCACTACTAGAAATGCTTCTTATTCATTCAGCACAGATTTTTTTTTAACTTCTGCTATAATATGGCATTAGAATACAGGCTGTGGAAAATGCATTTAACACAACAATGCCCCTGTTGTCATAGAGCTTATTTTCTAATGAGAGAGATGGGCCATAAACAAGATTTATAATTTCAAGTGAAGATAGGAGAAATAAAGCAGGGTAAGGATTTCAACAACTGATTCTGGACTAGAAAGGCCTTTCCAAAGGGATGATGTTCAACTTAATATTTGAGCAGGGACTTAAGGAAGTGGAAGAGCATTCTAGGTAGAGAAAACAACAAGTATGAAGGTCCAGAACTTCATACAAATAGAAGTATGAACTTGCTATTCTCATGTTTATTTTACAAACAAACAAAAACATTGGACCTAAGATTTTTGTAAGTTGTTAGGTTTAAAGTCTCAAGTAGTTTAAAGTTTAGGAATATTTTATTAGGTAGTTTGAATTATTGAATACTACAATGATACAAGCCTTCACTCCTGTAGTTTCCATATATTTCTCAAGAATGACTTTGTAAACATGCAAGACATTGAAGTTCAATTCAACTTGAAATATGTTTTGTGTACTTCTGCTTTTACCAATCCCTTAGTGATTTTACGGAACCATATCACCAGAAATGACAGTATAAATGAGGAAAAAAACTTAAATTTTGTGATTTTAAAATCAAAAAGCTAAAAAGTTAAAAATCAACCATTATGAAGGATGGTTTTGGTTCTATAAGGACTGTATTTTCATAAGATTGTAAGGTTAATTATGGTATGACTTATTTCTAGGGCATCTGTTTTCAGTCTCTGTACACAGGACTATGGTCAGAAGAAGAGGTTCTTAAGTAATCAGAAGTGAGACCCATTGCTTTAAAAT